GCGATGGCGTTAGACGCCAGCGGAAGCCGCGTCATGCCGCGGTAATCAATACGCACCTTATGCGTAGAAGTCGTCGCAAGCTATGGCTACCAATCGTCAGCTATGGATGGAGCCTTAGGGCCTTATACCCGGGCACAGGGTACCTATCAGTTTTAAGCAGCAATTATTGAAAACCCCGCTGCTACTGCATATCCCGTGAACAATAACTCTCAGTAAACTGCCCTTACCTCAATAAACTGCCCTTTTGAGTCAAGCCGAGCTTTGATCAACTTGTTGTAGATTGCATCAATTACAACATCTTCAAGCTCACGGATGGATTTGATGCCGAGGCTAATAAAACTTATTTAATTAATGATTATGATAAGGAAAAAATAAACAGTTTAGTATGATAACCGACTACTGCATCACATCTGTGTAGGAAAGTTGTCTATTCGAAGTGCTAGTAGCAGCTAAAGTGATCAGCGAAAGTTGCTGAAGTTTACACAACGCTGCAGAAGGCAGTTTCACCTGGAAGGATAGTGATCAGAATGCATATCTTTCAAAAAAAATGGTGATTTCAGAAAATTCGGGTTCAAAAAGAGATATTACCCCTTCTGGAAGGTCTTTGAGGGTCCCATAAGCGAATACTTCGAGTGTTTTATATAATGTTGGATTGGTTTGTTGCAGAGCCTGAAGTAAAGAGGCTATGGTTCGAACGCAAAATGAAATAGGATCAATGAAAAGTTAATAAATCATGAATACCTGTATGTTGGGCTGCGTAAGCATTTCTGAGACATTCAGAATTCTTGGATTCGTAATAGCATATTCTATTGCTGATTCAGGTGTTTCTAGCACTTTTGCTGCTACTGTTGCCATGCTACTGAAGGTGTCTCGAGATGGCTACTAAGCGTTGCATGTATGCCATATAAGCGCCAAAACCCTTGAGTGTATATTGGATGTACAAGATATTTCAAATGGGAATAACCAATGCTAACGTAAGAAAAATTGGGGAAATCAGTTTATTCAAGTAGAAAATGCAATCTAACTACATGAAATCTGACTAACAACAGGTTTTACATAAGTTTTACTCTACAACTATTTACATAAGCAAGGGCTCTTTTTTTCTTGTTCAGAAGTCTGAAACACGTCCTTTACGCTCCCAGTCGCCGTATCGAGTCGGTTCGGGTCCAGCCGGGCCTCCAATCTAAATGACGATATTTAAACCGTATTTAGGTTGCATCACTACTTTTTTCAAACAAAGCATTGTAAACCAAAATATTGAGAAATTCGTAAGAAATCCAATACTCCTTTTCAAGGCGACAAAGCAGACGCTGGATTGAAAATTTGAAAATTTTGAAAGAAGTATGTAACAATATTTGCGGCACATGTTGGAGAGATCCAAATGCCGAACAACTCATACTGAGAATTTTGGCCAGATCTTGAAGCTAAACAAGTATTTATGAAATGAGTATGGCGCTTGTTCGGCTATCGCTTCTACCCCTTCTAAGGAAAGTTTCGACAATTTGGTCAAAATCTGAACATAAGAGGCTCCTAAAGGGTCAATATCAAGATGAATTCTAAAAGAAATGATCGGCATCATACCTCGCCTGTGATTGGATTTACTCCTCCAGGATGTTTTTTAAGATATGGATCTTCATAAGGTTTCTGAAAGCACTTAAATAACTCTTCATGAGTGTAGAATAGGCTAGAAATGCTTTACTAAATCATCCAGCTTTCCAGCGGGTGTTTTCTCCTTCATTATATCCTCCTTGCTCTTCTTTTTCTTGGGAACTTGTGGTTTCTCAGTGCTAAGACATCGTGCTGCAGAAGTTCTGGGAACGACTCTACACACTATGCGGAGCATTCTAAAAAATGCTTTT